CACCACACTCACAGTCGCCATGATCTGTAAAACAAAGCACTCTCTGTTTTTTAGGATCAAAACTACTTCTCAATTTTTGGGACCAATTTTTCTACTTGCCTTTAAACACCATCAAAAATACTGAAAAAAAAAAATCAGAATAAAGTGAGTGTGTGTGGGGGGAAGAGATGGGGGAGGGGTGTGAGTGTAGACATATTTTATGGAATGTATTTTGCTAACTGTGTATATTTATTGATCTAGTCTCCTAACTGAAGACCAACTTGATTACCTGATATTATATCAAACAGAATTTATAGCTGGATGAAAAGATATAATCCAGAAGCCTGTAATACCTACTTGGGGTGTGTGTGTGTGTGTGTGTGTGTGTGTAATTGTTTTTACAACATTTTGCTTATAATTACAGTGCCATAGGGTAGAGATATAAGACAAACATGGCTAATACCCTACCTCTGCAACACTCAAGCTGAGTGATCACAAAAATCTCATCTATAAAATAAAATAAAATCTATTTCTAATGGTTGTGGTCAGATGAGAGAATGTGTCAGTCTCCTAGCTCTGCTTTCACCCCTTAGCTGTTCTACAGGCGTAGAGTGAATGCTCAACAAGTTCATTTATTTAACAAACTTTAATGGAGCATATAATGTGCCAAAGATTGTATTAGGCATGAAGATTCAAGAGTAAATAAGACAAGGTAGCCGAGCTTACAGTTTAGTGTTAGGAAACAGGGTAATACTTACTATTACTAACAAATACAATACAATGTGATAATTGTTATACACACAGGAAGAATTTCCAAACTAGACTAGAGATTTAGGGGAGTTTCTAGAGAAGCGATGCTTGAGTTGAGTTTGAAAGATAAAGATAGAAGATACAAGAGGGTTACATGCATTTTAAGCAGATAAAAAGCATAGGTAAATACCAGATGTGTGTAATCGTGTGTCCTGCTTAACACCCACGATAGTTAGACATGGATAGAGCCAAGGAAGTACGTGGAGTGTGACAGGAGAGGAGGAGAGCAAGGTCGACAAAAAGTCAGAAACCACATCATGAAGAACTTTATGGAGTCAAGTAAGAACTTTTGTCTGAAAGTTTTGGAATTTCAAGTCAGGGAGAGACCTGAACAGATAGGCATGTGTCTAGAAATGTCCTGGCATCAGTAGAGAGGGTCCAACTAGAGACAGGAAAACAAAGTAGGAAGATTTGAGACCCTGCATCCACAGGAATGAAGAGGAAGGGGTATGTATTTCAGGGGATGAAATACTTAGGGTGTGGCTATGGTTGGTGCCAGGGTGGAGAGGGAGAGGAAGAGAAGGAGGGACAGAATCCTTCCCGGGTGACCAGACTGGGCTGCTAGTTGGATGATGCGGCTTTTCGCTGACCTGGAATGGAAGCTAGCTCATCGTCCATCTTATCTCCAGTGCCTGGCGTAGAGTAGTGCTTAATTATTGAATTAATAGATTGTTCTGAAGCAGAGGAGGAAGAGAGGCTTTGAGGGACATGATGAGTCCATTTTTGGTTCTGTTGAGTTTGAAGGGCGTGTTGGACATCCTACTATGCCACTGAATGCAGTTGACCATTGAACAACATGGGGCTTAGGGTGCCGACACCCTCCTCCTCCATACAGTTGAAAATCTGCATGTAACTTTTGACTGCCCCAAAATTTAACTACTAATAACCTACAGTTGACTAGAAGGCTTACCAATAATGTAAACAGTTGAGCAACACATGTTGGGTATGCTGTATATTCTATGTATTATATACTGTATTCTTATAGTAAAGTAAGCTGGAGAAAATGTTATTAAGAAAATCATAAGGAAGAGAAAATACATTTACAATATTTATTGAAAAAAATCTGCATGTAAGTGAATTTATGCAATTCAAACACACATTCTTCAAGGGTCAACTGTGTATGTATATAGACCTGGAGTTTGGGGTATGGGATCCATTAAGGATAGGTGGTAGTTGAAGCTATTGTGGATTGGGTCTTCTTGGGGAAGCAGATAGGATGAGAAAATCCTTGGAGAGCATAAGCATTTAAAACGTCATCAGAGAAAAGGATCCTTACAGAAGAGACCGAGAGGTAGGAGAGCAGCGAGAGTGACGGTGCAGAGAGAGCTTGAAGACGGACGCACATGGAGACTAGCTGCGAGCAAGCTTCTCATCTAATCCTGAAGAGCTCCTTTTGGATCTGGCCACATAATAGTGTATGAAATACTATGAAATGATGACGTGCTTAAGATAATGGGCTTGAGTGTTCTTTCCACAGTATTTTTTGCGTGCCTGCCATGCTCAAGATACTAAGCATTTGATGTGGCAAGAGAGGAGGAAAGCAAGGTTGACAAAAAAAGTCAGAAATCACATCATGAAAAACTTTATGGAGTAAAGTAAGAACTTTTGTCTGAAAGTTATGGAATTTCAAGTAGGAGAGAGACCTGAACAGAGAGACATGTGTCTAGAGATAAATAACAAATAACAAATTTCATAACTGATACTTGTCTTAAAAACAAAACAAAACTAAACAAAAAAACAACCCGTGTATCTGACATTGCCTTGCAAATTTTACTCTTTCAGCAACTGTCCAAAGCACATAGGATTGGTGGTGTTGAGTGAGGGCACAGATCTAGAGCCAGAAGGCACAGATCTGAATCCTAGCTCCAGTACTTCCTGGCTGGGTAAACTTGGGGAAATTACTCAACCTTTCTGTGCCTCAGTTTCCTTATTGATAAGGAGGGACTAAAAATAGCTACTTCATAGGAGTATTGTGAAGATAACCTGACATGATACCTAAGTGTTTAGAACAGTGCTGGGCCCTTATAAGCAGTAAATAAGTATAAGTCATTATTACGCCTAAAAACGATTTAGTAGGAAAGATTTGAAAGCAAAATTACCCATCGGTATTAAAACTCCTGCAATTGTACTGAAAACCAAACAAATGTAAAAGAAATCTCAAGTGAGGCAGGTTTTCACTTACAGAAGACACCGTCATGTTCACTATAGAAAGAAGGAATCAGGTTTTCTCTCGTAAACTTTCGTTTAATAGGTGGTGACCTTTCTATCTTCATGATCTGGCTTTAAGGGACGTGGAGTAGAAAATCACAGAACAAAGGAGACGGCCAAAAGATTTTGAAGCTGAATTCTGGTAGCTAGCGCTCTCTCTCTCTCTCTCTCTCTCTCTCTCTCTCTATATGTACATATATATGTACATATATATATATATACACACACACATATATACACACACACACATACATACATACATACATACATATACCAAAAAGACATACACTTCTCTAATGAAAGATGAGTTGAAATGTATCTAGATCCATGACATTAAGACATAGTCCAACTATATTTTATAACCTATTTAATTCATAATTGAACTAATTAATTCAAAGCTAAGAATAATTAGGCAATTTAGGCCAAAACCATTAATTTAATGTTTATATGTAAGTTTTTCTTTAAAATGCAATTGCTTTTTGTTTCTTCCTTAGCAAAAGGGGAAACTTACTTTAGTGATAGGGAGAGATTTCTATACTGATGTTTATTCTGAAAAATTAATACGATTTATAGATATTGTCAAGTGAAATGTGCATTTCTTAACGCTTTGAAAATGTCCGTGTATATCACTGCATGTAAGAATTGCTTGGCAGAAATTTAGAAAACCCTTCCAAGAGCTCTGTTCAGAATTAAGAAACTCTCCTTTCTGTGGTCCTTCCAGAACCATTAACCTGGTCACCAAAGTTGCTAATTGATATCCACAAGCAACTAATTATTAAAATATCTGTTCATACAACAACAATAACAATATTTTTCTAATAGCTTCATGTAGAGGCAAGATGATAACCAAAGATCAAGAAAAAATTAGCAGGCTCTTTTAGAGGAATAGATCTTTCTGGAATGCCATTGACTGACAATTCTAAGTGCATAAAGGCAGGAAGTTTTTTTTCGGTAATGCCATTTGCCTATTAGAGTTTCCAATCTCTTAGAAACAAAATATAAAAGACTAATGGAATTTGGGCAAGAAAAAAATCAATGGAGTCCTATATCTGTGAGTGCTCACAGATAGATTAAAAAAAAGTGCATGAAAAAGAACATGTGATAATAGCCCTTCAAAGAAGTGGTACATTGCAGAGTCTATTAGCCGTAAAATAAGCGAGGTCTACACAACAAGTGAAGCTGTAGCACATTCGAGCCTCTGTTACAAACGCCATCAACAACAGAATGTCTGTTCAGAAGGCCAGGCATAATTTTTACCTCTGCACTAAGGACAATGCCAGGCACATGGTAGGTATTCCTAACTATTTGTTGAATTTGAATAATTGTACTTACTTTTATTATACCTTTTTATAGAGAAAGCTCCTCATAATAGAGTGACAACCTTTGCAATGTTACTAAAAAACAAAATAGCTCTTGAGAAACAATAATGGTTGAGTATCATAAATTACCCCAAAGTATGAAGGCAATTGGTATTGGTGAAGTTTTCAGAGTTCAATTGAAGATATAATTGTATTTTCTAAATAGAATTTCTTTAGCAATCACTGTTATCTGATACAAAAAGAGGCACTATTGTCAGACCTTCCAAATTGCAATGCACAGATCAAGTCAACTCTTTTTAGGTTTATTTCTGTTCGCATTCATGATACAAAATAAAATGAAAGATCATCAAGAAACGAAGAAGTGTGTTGCTGAACACAGTTCAGCAGTTTACACTGTCTTAGATCTCTTTGATCTAAGATTTAAAGGGTGAAATAAAGGCAAGGTTAGTATTGCTATTATATTGTATTAAAGTACGCTTAGGACCTTTTTTTTTGAAAGGCAATTTCAAATGTTTTGAGCGTATATTTTAGTTAAAAATTTCTAATAGGAATTTGATCTGGGATTCTGCTGAATATGTTCTTGCCAAGATGTGGTGACTGTCTTTGGCTTCTGTTTATGTCCTATCTACATCTTGTGAAAAGAGGACTGATGTGGGTTTGGAAACACAGCCGTTAAATAAGGAAATAGACTTTTGACTGAAAGGAGAGAGAAATGTGTCTAATCTGGACAGACCCTATATTTTTCACTCTCTGGGGGGAAGACAGAAGGCAGCCTGAGAGGAACCCATTGGTAGCAACAGCAGCAGCCAAAGAATGAAACTACATAACTTCTAAGGGCATCAGCTGGTTTTCAAAGAGCTTGTAATTCTTTGAGGCCTCTTTGCTCAGGCCTTTTCTCCTGAAAATCAGTTTCTTTTGTTTGATTCTGACACTGTGGTTTTGAAAACATATCTTGCTTAGTTTTCTCTAAAGATAATGGTTTTCTGTTTTGAAAAACTGACTCCTTATACACTGTGAAAAAGGGAGACATGAAAGCTTAAATTCAACACTTAATATTTCAGTTGTATCACAAATTTATATCATTTTAAAGTATATTAACACATTCGTAATTCTTGTTTTAAAAGATTATACTTAAATATATATGTATATATCAGAATGATTTTATAGTGGTTGTGTTATACATAATATATTCTTAAACTGCAGTGATTTTACATCTACAAAGGATATTAAAACATAAATATTTCTGCTATTTAAAAGTTTTCTCAATCTCAAAAAATTCCAAGCAATTTTTCATTTTTACCTTTTCCATGGCCTTTTCTACATGTTTTTATTCATCTTTATCATACTTAGTGCCTAACCTAGTATCTATCACATAGTAGGTGTGCAATAAACATTTGTGAAATAAATGAAGGTCCTGAAAGTCCATTTGGGGTGTGTGTGTGTGTGTGTGTGTGTGTGTGTGTCCCTTGTCCTTGCCATTTGCTCCTTAAGGAGCCTAGCTCTTAGTTTTTCCAAAGTGATAGGCATTTAAGAGTTAGGTCAGATATCCTGTAGCCTGATCCAGAAAAGTCTGGAAGATATTGGAGTTCAAATTACATGCAGTTTTGTGGAGTATGGGTAATAAACAAAAAGAAGGCATTACCACCTTTTACTTACTTATCCTTAGGGAAATAATGATAGAGATGTAAGTTCCAGTTGGCACTCCAACTGGAGATCTCACTCCAAATGAATGTAAGAGCAAAAAAAAAAAAAAAAAAAAAAACAAGAGAAAATCAGTTACCTTAGGTCTAAAGAGAAACAATCCACTCATTTGATCAACAAATATCTATTGGGCACCTACTATGCCCAGGTAACTGGAGGGTGCAGAGGATGCAGAGCCCCTTCTTAATACTTGCACAGTCGCAGAGTAAGGTAGATTTAGACATAGCCTACCTCCACAGAGCAGCCCTTTGTGTCTCACGCAGGAGAAATTGTCACACTGGCAGTAAGGCCCATAAATGTTTCCATAGGGAGATAAGTGGCAGATGCACTGTCCACAGTAGCAATCGCCTCTTCCACTGCACGAGGGATGATCCGGGGCCTCCTTACAGGAATCTGTGCTCAGCGTGTCCTCTCCACACTCGCAGCGAGGACCCATGTAGCCGGGGTTGCAAGCACACACCCCACACTGGAAGGATCCGTTCCCATTGTGGCATTTGGAGCTGTTCACTTCCACTTCTTTCTGACAGTCACAGTTGCATTCCGGAGTAACAAGTATTTCTAGGGTGTCCCCCAGCCCCACAGGCTTTATAATGATGCGCCTGCTTCTTCTCTCACAGTTTGGTATACTCACAGTCACATTAAATGAAGCCTGGAAAAGAAAATACCGATTATCTGCTTCTATCCACCAAAATGCATGAGAGGAAACAAAGCCATATGGGAATCGGCTTTGCCAAAAACATTTATTGGGAAATCTTTGAAAAGTGCTTTTGGGAGAAAAAAAAGAAAGAAAAGAAAAGCGCTTTTGAAATTCTTAAAAGGTTCAGTGTCGGTACATTAAGGTAACTTCTGACTTATCCAAATATTTTGTTCAGATCATCTATTGGCCATCTACTTACTGTGTCTCCCACCTTCATGTGAGAACATTTCTTTTGGTGTGGGAAGAAGGTCCCGTTTTTACAGATAGCTGTGAATGACAGGTTGAGTCCTTCTGTGTCTCCTGATACTTCCAGTTCCACCTCAGATCGTAGTTCCTTTAGTTAAGACATAACAAGATAAATGAAGTCACAACCAAAAAATATAGCCAGAAGAAGAATCGAAGAATCATGTTCATTAAACTAAAAATGAATAAAATTAAATCGAGTCTGAAAGAAATTCATCGTATCATCAAGCAAGCAAGCATAACACACACACAATTGTATTCTATCGAATCTAAGACATCATTGATTATAAGATACACCATTATTTTATGACAATCTATGACAAAATACTTCAAGATTATTCTGCACAATATATGAATCCATGCCAACAGTCTAACACTGCTTCGAAAATTTTATCCATTCTGAGGTCTGGCAAATTCTCCCGAGTTGCATTGCTTGGCATATAAAAAGGCAACTCTTTTGCTTGTTCTTAGTAACAAAATATAACAACGGCTTCCTTTTCTTCTACATATCATCATTTCTCAGGTCTCATAAAGCAGCTGGTTGTTGCTTTGCAAGGAATACAGAATTGTAGTCATTCTTACCACAATGAATATTTACTTCACTGATATCAATTTTATACCCTGCTGCTCTGTTTTGGTACATTTCTACATATATAATTTTTACTTCATTTTTATATCAAATCATAGTACGTACTTTCGAAGGTATTTTATTTTATTTTTTTTATTATTTTTTAAATATTTTTAGACGAGGCAACCCTTGGTTGACCTTACAGATTGCAAGGACCTTGTCAGCTTACAATCCCTTATTTTTTAATTTTTTACGCCCATAGCACCTGGTCCTCCTAGGTGGTCTCCCATCCAAATACTAACCAGGCCCAACCCTGCTTAGCTTCCAAGATCAGACGGGATCTGACTTGTTTAGGGTAGCATAGCCGTAGACTTGAAGATATTTTAAAATGGCAATTAAACTCGATACTTATAGTACCAACAGTGCATTTAACAAGTTGAAATGACAACATATATAGTTACGGCCAAGTCTACACATGTGCAGGCAATGAAAACTACATTATGACTTCTGCTCTACAGACAGCATCTGTAAGACATCACTAAATATAAAATATATTCCAATTTGGGGGGTATTAAAATGTAGAAGAAACTGTGCCTTGAAATCAATATTGAAATTTATTGACTACCTATTGTAGATTTAGTGTAGAGTCAGGTCTGGGGGAATGCGTCTAAGACCAGATTTCTGCCCTCAAGACAATTATCATCTTACTGAAAAACAAAAACAAAAACAAAATGGAACTAAGTGAAGCAATTAACATATAATGTCAGTCAATGTACCATTAAGTTAAAAAAAATTGTATAATACAAATGAGGGTTTGAGACAGTTTGGAAAAGAGAGTGGTCAGTGAAGGTTGAAGTATCAGTAGACTGGTCCTTCACAGTTGTGTTGGATTTAGATTTGTGGAGGGGATGACAATGGTATTTCGGATAAAGGGATCAGAAGAGAGAAAGCTCAGTGCCAGGAGTGGCAGAGAACAAAGACAAGGGGCTCAGACCAAGCCAGCACAACTGTCCTGGGAGACACCAGACAACAAAGAGCCCTGTAGTTTAGAGAGATGAGCTAAGCCCTGTGGGAAATATTACTAGAAGCTTTTAAGCAGGGGCCTGATCTACTGAAAATAAGGCTGCAAGGAAGTTGTCTGAAGATGTGTGCAGAACAAATTAGCTGAGGGGATAGGAAGACTCGAGTCAAGAAAACTGGGATGTTGTTGCATTCACCTTGGCCTGAGGCGTGAGGATCAGGAACTGGGGGTGGTTGGTATATGTGATGATGTAGATTGAAGAGAGGTAGACTAGATATGAAGTCATGGTAGAGGGAGAGAGAAAGGCAAGGTTTTTCAGGAGAAGGAATGTCAAGGAAGATGGAAGGGAGAGCTGTTTTGGAGAAAGCTAGTGTTACTATTCAGATGTTATCTATTCCTTTTTTTTTAACAAAATAAAAGTCTGTTGACATTGCTCTTAGTATTTTTGGATATATCGCCTCAGGCAAGGGAAAAAAAAGAGAAAACAAATAAGTGAGACTGCATCAAACTAAAAAGTTTTTGTACAGCAGAAGAAACCATCAACAAAATGAAAAGAAACCTACCAAATGGGAGAAGGTATATGCCAACAATACATCAGATAAGGGGTTAATATCCAAATTATATAAAGAACTCATACAACTTAACACCAAAAAAAAAAATAACCCAATTAAAAAATGGACAGAAGACCTGGATAGACATTTCTACAAAGAAGACATACAGATGGCCAACAGACATATGAAAAGATGCTCAACATCACTAATCATCAGAGAAATGCAAAATCAAACCATAATGAGATATCACCTCACACCAGTCAGAGTGGCTATCACCAACAAATCAACAAGTGTTGGCAAGGATGTAGAGAAAAGGGAACCCTCGTGCACTGTTGGTGGGATTGCAAATTGGTGCAGCCACTATGGAAAACAGTATGGAGGTTACTCAAAAAATTAAAAATAGATCTGCTTTATGAGTCAGGCTTTATGACCTAGAACTACTTTATTATCCCAAGAAACCCAAAACACTAATTTGAAAAGATATGTGCACTCCTGTGTTCAATGCAGCATTATTTACAATAGCCAAGAAATGGAAACAACTTAAGTGTCCATCAATAGATGACTGGATAAAGAAGAAGTGGTATATGTATGCAATGGAATATTACTTGGCCATAAGAAGAATAAAATCTTACCATTTGTAACGATATGGATGGACCTAGAAGAGTATTATGTTAAGTGAAATAAGTCAGACAGGAAAAGATAAATACTATGTGATATTACTATATATGTAGACTCTAAAAAACAAAATAAGCAAACAGACAAAACAGAAATAGAGACTCATAGATACAGAGAACTAACTGATGGTTTCCAGATGGAAGGAGAGTTGAAAGGCTGGGTGGAAAAGTAAAGAGATTAAGACGTACAAATTGGCAATTACAAAATAGTCATGGGGGATATAAGGTACAGCATAGGGAATATAGTCAATAATATTGTAATAACTATGTATAGTGCCAGGAAGTTTCTAGACTTATCAGGGGGATCACTTGTAAGTTTATGAATGTCTAGCCACCATGCTGTACAGCTAAAACTAATATAACATTGACTGTCAACTGAAGTCGGAAAAAGATTTTTTAAAAAGTCTGTATTTAGGGGACAAAACCAAATTACTAAAAATAAAAGCAAATCAAATATAAATAAATTGTAAAATATTATGAATTAAGTTATACTTTAGTTCATCTAAAAGGATTTGAGTCCTTATATCTATTTCATTGCTGGGATTTTAAAAACATATTTAGCTTCAAATTTTCCTTAAGTACAATCTTGCCAGCTGACTAATAAGATGACCTTGTCTTCCTCCAAATTCTAATTTGCTGGCTGTAAATTCTAAGTCACTCCTTTTCTCTGCTTTTGTATTTTTCCCATATTGTCACTCTTTCGGTAGATCAACACAGGCTAACTTTTCAGAATATGGTTTTCATCAGAGGTTGAAATGTCATTTCTCAGTCCTAAAGATATTCCCATCATGTTTTAAGATTTCAAATTCTGCCAATTTAGCATTAAAATTTACTATTTCAATCTGTTTCATTTCAACTAGTTATATTATAAGTTTAGCATTCAGAAAATATTTATTGAATGTCCACTATGTACCAGACACTGTTCTAGGTGCTTGGAAAACAACAACAAAAGAAAACACTAAAAAAGCTGACCTTTTGCAGTTTATATTCCAGTGTGGGAAAACAGAAAAGAAACAATTTAATAAATAAGAAAATTGTGTAACACACTAGAAGGTGATAAATGCCATGGAAAAAGTTAGGGTGGGATAATGAAAAGTAAGAGAGTGTGTGTGTGCAGGGGTTGTAGGCTGCAGTTTTTGTTTTGTTTTGTTTTGTTTTTGTCTTTGTTTTTAAAGTAGATTAGGATTCATTAAGAAGGGGATATTTCAAGGAATTGAGGAAAAATTAGCCCTGCAGATGTCTGTAAAAAATGTTCCAGGAAGAGGGTACAGTCAATGCAAAGATCCCAAGACAGGAACAATCAATGCAAAGACCCCAAGACAGGAGCAAACATGGTTTGTTCTGGGAACAGAACAGCAAGGATGCCAGGGTTGCTGTACTGGAGCAGAGGGATAGGAGAGCAACAGAAGGTGAAGTCAGACAGGTAAGGGGGTGGCGGGGAAAAGACCTGGGAGGGGCCTAGCAGTCCGTTATAAAGAATTCAGCTTGTACCCTACATAAAAAGAGCAAACAGAGTTATCTACGGAAGAGTGATATGAACGTATTTAATATTTTTAAAACAAAATTCTAGCTGTTTTGTTGAAAACAATGTAGGAAACCAAAGGTAGAAATGAGAAGTAGCATTTAGGAGGTTTCACAATAATTCAGGTGAATGAAGATGGTGGCTCTGACCAGGATGCGAGCAGTGGAGGCAGTGACTGAATTAAATTCTAAATAATTTTGAAGATAGAGCCAAGGAGATTTTCTAATGGCTGAAATTTGCAGTGTAAGAGAAAGAAGGGAGGGTGGGTCAAGGATCGTTTCAAGCTTTTTGGCCCAAACAAATGGAAAGATGGAATTACCATCAATTGAGAAGGAGAAAACTATTTGTGAAGTATGTCTGAGAGAGTCTTGGTTACTCTCCTGAATTATCAACTAACATAACAACAGCCTGATTGCTGAGACCTGCTTGAGGTCCATGATCGTGAATTTAAAGTGAGACCAGTTAGCATGAGCATATGTTTTTCCTGTTATCTTTCAGCAGAGTGAGAGCACAGTTGGATTTAACTAGGACCATAGCTGCTCAAGCAACCTCAGAGGAGCAATAAGGGGCAGGGGAGTTGAGGGTGTGTCTAAGGAATGACCATAACAATTGAATTTAAGCTGAGGTTCCTGGCAAGAGAAAACATCAAGAGGATGAGGAACTGTAACAAAGGGGTGTGGGGGTCAATTAATCGGAGATCCTAATGGGTTGAAAGAAATGTTAGGGGAACTAGCAAGCAGTGAGCTGAAAAGACATGAAGTGGAGGTCAGGAGATGGGCTGCATGTAGTTGAGATTATGAAAGAGTTTACTGGCAATGGTAAGGTTTAAGGAATGACAAGAGAGTGAAAGTATGAAAGGGTAATTAAGTGGGAAGGGGGTGAGGTCATTTTAGGACCAGAGTTCAAGAAACTGAAAGGTCAGGGTATGAGTAAGAATATATATATGTATATATGTGTATATATATATATGTGTGTGTGTGCGTGTATACATATACATCATATATACACTTACACATACATACACACACACTTAGACTGAAATCATCAAGGATTAAGACAGGCATAGTATTGAAAACAGTGACACAGTGAATCAGGAGCTGAATGAGAAATGAGGAATATGGCCTGAAAGTCTGTAGATGACCACAATTAGGCAATAGTGGGTGACATAATTTGACCAAAATGAAGGAAATCTAAATATTGGTATAAATGAAATATCATATTGCAAATTTCACCAGTAATATTTTAATGTAAATTTCCCAAAGGATAAAATATTTATTTGTGTATTTTATCATATCTTTCATTTATTTATTGAGCATCTACTATGAATCAGGCAAAACAAAATAAATCAAGTCACTTCCCTTCTGAAGTTTAAATGCCAGGAAAGGAAATTCCCTCGGGAGCACTAATATTTCAGTTTTTATTATGTAGAGAGCATTAATATCTCAATAGTTTTTATTATGTGGTTAGGGAAGGAAGGAAATTAGTGAATGATGGTCAGATGAATACACATCTGGCATTTAAGAGTTTTTTTAATGTCAATATGGCACTGTAAAATATTGAGCAGTGGCTCAGAGTCACTAATTATAAACAAATTGCCTCTGCCTCTCTAGAAGTCAGTCAGAAGCGTTCTCTGTTTTCTCTCGATACATTCTTTCCTACTCTTTTTCTTTATAAACTAAAAAGAAATCCAGTCTATGGATCCCCATATTTTAAAGCCCTTTTAGGATACATTTAAAAATAACAAATAGAAAAATAATTTGAACAAGTGCCAAGATCTGTTGCATATTTCACCCAGTGAATCACAAAGTTTCAGTTATAATTCCAGAGCAAGATTATTTAGTATGAGAATAATAGACACGTCTCTGTATTTGGAAGCAGTAAAATGACACGAAATTCACTTCAAATGTGATTTCAACTACCCTGTAGGTTATGTGAGTGATTTGAGTCCATAAAGTGAGACATAATCTCTGACGGAGCAAGCACAGACATGGAGGAGGCTGGTTGGACAGGAGGGGAAAATATTTTTGATAATTTACTGTTTTCTAATTTGCTTAATTCCTTTGAAGATGCTAGTGACCAACACTTTTGAGAGTGCTGACTTAAAGAAAACTGAGTGTGTTTTAATTAGATGATGATTGCTGTGTGATTTTATTTGATTTTACACATTAAAAATTTTAATTATTGCATAAGGGGGAAGAAGGGTTTTTAGTATTTCGTTGACAAGCTTTCCTGTCCGGAAGAATTTCAAGCATGAGCTAATGTGGTGGTTAATTTTTCATGTGAGCTAAGAAAACTGAAGTTTCTGAGGATATGAGTGAAAAAATAAAAACATCCTCCAATTTTAATGAACACATCTGTATTTTATTCTGAAATGAAATATATTTGAGAAAGAATACTATGCTTTTCCCACACAGGGTGAGTTTCAAAATTGGTGGGGCAATGTCAAAATTATTAGGGAGTTTTTTCAAAATACGTAGCTCTTCCTTCGCTTAAAGTTCTAAGATGTCTGTGAGAGAAATCTGGACATACCTATTTTTAAAAAGTTTCCAAGATGATTCTAAAATGTCATTTACTTAAGGAACACTGGTTCAGTATATGTTAAGTATTGGCATAGATATATATATATTATATCAGATTTAGTTGTAATTTTAAAACATCGAAAATTAGAAATTCATTTGTTATTATGTAACTACCGTTCAGGACATATATTAGAGCTTTAAAGCGTTATAAAAATTTACTTTTTAAATTCCTGTCCTTATTTAGAGTTTCATCACTGTCATTGTGTGTGTGCATGAGTGCATGTGTGTGTGCGTGTGTATTTTTTCTTAGTAAGCAAAGGCAAGAATGGGGTACAATATTTAGGAACCAAAATAAAAAAGTGTTGGCAACTGGCCATCTATCACTGATGAATTGAGTTATGAAATGGAGATAAAAAAAGAACATAGAGACCCTGTAAGTATGTATCTCGTTTTAAGGGAACAATTTTTTTCTCAGGTACTAATTTACAAAGCCAAGGCAAAAAAAAAAAAAAAAGTGTGTGTGTTTGTGTAAAATCTCCAATGGAAAATTTCCCTGGTTCCCAAAAGAAGAGAATCTACAAAGTGGTACTCCTAGTATGCTTTGTGTCTTTTTCCTTGGGTTATGACTCGTTGTTCCTTTTGAGTAGAATTAAAATTTTGCAGGGGACAACACTGCTGTTGGTTATTATTATAAAAACAACCTCAACTTTATATTCAGGGGTATGATTTTTCTACCTTTGTCACCACTTCTCAGGGAGGATATCTGCAAATAAAGTGAACAAAATGTATATATTGGCTGCATTAGTGCAAAGAGATTTTCTGCATGAAGCACTCTCTCTACCAACAAATAAAAATGCAGTTAACTGCCTAAAACACATCTTAGTTTTTGAATACCAAAGAAATAAAAAAACAAAATAAGCCAACTGTAAAGTATCATACTTCATAAGCCGAGATGATCAGCTGGAGAATGTTTCCAGAGTCTTTCTGAAGTAGCCCTACTGTAGCTCCAGGAATGAGTTTTGCATAATTCTGTAAACAAAAAAGAATATGTCAATCTTTGCTTGCTGTAAGTGAGAAATGGTAAGTGTGGGGTTCGGCCTGTAGGTTGAGATCACCTTTATTTAACCGGCTGGGGGAGACAGGCTCTTGATAACAAACAGGCCTTTCTCCTGAGACTGCAGCTCTGCCTTATTCAGCTTCCTGCACTCAAGCGAGAAATGGCCCAGCCAGAGTTGCCACTGGGGAAATCTAGTGTCAGTGACTGCCTCGGTCTAGGGCTGTGGTTTATATCACGGCAGGAATCAAGTCTCAAATAATCATAACCTTATATAATATCTTCTTGTCATGGAGCATTCTTTATCCAAAAAATTCTGAGCATACTACCAGGAGCCATCTTCTCTTTTTTATAACATTGTGGAATCCGAGGTTTGGTATAAACGGCCCGTCACCACTATCAAGTTTCTGTGTAAGTCATTCAGTCCAAGGGTTTTAACTGTCAATCGCTTTTGATGGAGGAAAGGAGCGAATTATTTGAATGCTTGCTGTTAATTTGCCCTTTCCTAGTGGTAATGAGCACTCTTTTAGGATGTCAGCACAGGCTGGGATTGGTTGGAATCACCCAGAACTCAACACGATTGAATGAGGCAGAACCTAGCTCCAAACCATTCGCATCCTCCACCTACATTGCTTCTCTTGAGATGTCATTTCCACCTGAAGAGATGAGTTCACCAACACTCCACATGGCCAGGGATGAGGCATTTCAAAGAAGGGTATTTTACAGACAGTCGAAAATTACCTCGCCTTTAAGTTTTATGTTTTAAAACTATTTTCAAATAAAAAGGTTACTAAAGTATACAGTAAACTTCCCTGTCTTCTTAAATTAAGACTCTCAAGCATACTTTGACTTTTTTCTTGAGGAAATAGTCATACTTATCAATATTAACTATAGCTTTATAATCATCAAAGGCTTTTAAAAATCCATGGGTAGATCACACCCATACCAAGTAGGCCCAACGGCTATGCTTTTGCTTCTTTTATTTGTTTTTAAATAGTTTCTATTGTTTCCTTGTTAAGCTATAAGTTATCGCTCCCCTGCCAATTCACTCATTTATTCATTTACTGTTGCATCGACAACATCTAATAAGTAAGCTTAATATACTATGAGACATCAAGAAGAGAGAAACACTCTTTTTGTCAGCTGCGGTCTTCTAAGCTGTTGTGTGTTGTGAAATCAGATGACTGAATTTATTAGATTGTACATAGAAAAGAGAAATAAGCTTTGAGTGAAGGATTCAGGGCATCTCCTGTAGTTCAAACATAATGATATCTTATCTTATTCCACAGAAGACAAATAGCTTAGGAAATACACAAAACTAATTAGAATTAATAATTATCATTAATTATAATTGTGATACTAAATAAATAAATCAGGACAAGCAGGACAAAGCGGAGAAACAAACAAAGCCAGGGTGATGTTAGAACACGAACGTGTTCTGGGAGTCCTGAGCACTTGCTGGAGGTGGGTACCTGGGTTAAGTCCAAGCTTTCTACACTTCTTGTATTAAAAAGATGGGCTTTGGTTTTAATTTGTGGGTTTTGTAATGTTCCACTTATGATCATGATAGTGTTTCAGTTTGAAGTCGATGGTCTGAACTCTTAAAGGTGTCAGTTGTCACTCTGCCGTGAGGCTGTTTTATTATTAAAGGGGCTGTGGGCAGGAATCCAGGTAACATTCCTCCCATTGCTCCATGCTCCACATCGCTGCCCAGTGAAGGCGGGCTCCACTCCGATTCCCCGAGTCAGGTAGAACTTCTCAAATACGGGAAAGGCACGGGAAAGGCACCAGCTCATCGATTTACCTATTCAAATAAACACATGTCAAAAGGGCTGTGAAGCATGAGACCTGCGGTTAACAGCGAATACCTAAATAGGAACTTGAATTTCACTCAAGTGGAGCCAGAACGTGTATAAATTTGGTCCCAGAAGAGAAGGCAGAGGTAATCGTTAGAGCTTGACAAAGAAAGGTTTAGATCCTTTTGAAAAAGAATTTCAAGGCTCTTAACTTTGCATGAAACTGCTATCCTTTGGTCAAATAAGAAATCTTTTTTGAGATGAAGGCAGAGTGAACAAATAAATAGGGCTTGATGAAGGTACTTAAGAACACCAAGGCAATCAGAAAAAACCAACCTTGCAAACATGAGTGAGAAAATCAACCTCAGGAACTCCTGGGTGGCATGGTGGAGAGGAGGGAAGTAAAATCTATAATTAGGATAATCCATGGACAGATAACAGGGGATTCAAGCCCAAGAAATTCAAGCCCAAGCATAGGAGTTTGCATTTCTCATCAGCTCATGCAACATCATGTTTTTAGACTTCATAATTTCTAATATTCAAGAGTCATCTTTTATAGTTACAGTGCTATATAATTTATCACATCCAAGCATGCAAAAGCATCCTTTTTCTAACATTAAACATGTTTAATTAGGACAATTTATAATAGCACTTTAGGGCTTTAATGAAAGAAAGGCATTTGACACATGATATTTACAGTAATCATAACACTACAAAATTTAAAGTATAATTTTTTTACAGTATTAAATCAGGACACCAAATTGCCCATGGTTCTAGTTAGTTATTTGAAATGCTTGCAGGGAGGGGGATCAGTATCAAGGAATTAATTAATAGTTTTCTTCTACAAAATTGTCAGTGTTTTCACTCGGTACTGCTATGACTGCCAACTCCTTTCTACTCTCGCTCTAGTGGCAATCAGCAACTAAAATTAATGCTAAACCACTTGTCCTAATAGCCAAACGCCAAATGTCATACCACATGCAGGATCATGATTATGCTTTAGGAAGTGGATGGATTTGGCTTTGTTAACCAAGAATTAACCCGAAATCTGGAGGCCACTTGATGCAGTGCTTGTGGAAAATACCCATTACACCTCAGCCAAGGGGATACCAAAACTGTTTTCAGCCTGTATTTGCTCCCGGGAAATCTTCTGCTTGTCAAGAATAGAAGATAAGAAATGAACAGAGGGTCATTTAGTGGGCAGGCAACAAAGGATACAGAAGAAAGTGACGGAATTCACACCTGTACACTCTGAGCTCCTCTCAGAGACTATCTGCAAGTTTGGTGCCTCTCAGCGTCTGGCTGCCAGAACCAGCTGTCAAATGTGCACGCCTGCTTGGCTAAGGTCAGAGAACCATGCAGACACATACCTGCTGGCCGTGGACAGGACATTGGTTGGCTTTTTCTTAACAAAGACCCAGGCTGAGGGCCTTGGCAGACCCTTGGCTGCTTTTGGTGCTATCTTGGTGTTCTTATCCATAGAAGGGATGGCTCCTGACATTGACCTTCCTTCCCACTTTGACTGTACATCCTGTTGCATTAAATCTCATCTTCAGGTTCAGAGCCTGTGCTCTCGGTTGTGGTTTAGTATTAACTGTATCCTTCCTGGGCATTTTGATTGGGTTTCTGCCTTTGATGGTGACTCTACTGGACCATTATATGCTAGACTTCTGACATTTCTGCTCTCATCTCAAAGGCTCCTTACCATCTCAGACTCATTAGCTACCATTTTGTACAGACCACGCCACTCATGCTTCTCATCGGAGGGTGGGAAACAAAAGTTGACTTGCCATATATCTGCTAGCCACATTTTAATAAATAATTTGTAAAACCAAATATTTAGAGCAACCTGCTGCTTCTCTTTAGGCTCTGTGCTTGCTTAACTCTTCGTTGAAGCCTCACTAATATCAAGGGGTTTTATGCTCGGCACTATTTATTTTCAGTGTTATATTATTAACTGATATCAGTGTTTCTGGTCTTAAACTATACTTATTGTGTTTTGGTAAAATACGTTTACTAAATGGTTGGCTTGTATAGAATGACAATCTATGATGCTGCAGAATCTTTTCGCAAATATTTCTCTAATCTCTCACAGTATTCTTTTCATCATTCCTTTTTATCTCTTCATATAGTGGCTCCTGTTTGTGCATTCTCTCCCCCTCCACACACACTTTAAAGGTAGTATAACACACATGTTATAACACATGTACAGTGTTATAAGTAATAAGTATACAGTCCAATGAATACTTAAAAAGTAAACAAGCAAATGTAACTGCCAACAAGATCAAGAAATAGAACATAATCAGCACCTTGGAATTCTCCCTTTATTCCAAGGTCATTGCCTCCCAGTCATTATCTCTCCCCTGAAAGCTTAACCACTATCTTGACTTTTATCACTGTAGAAATCAGGGGGGATATCTTTGTTGCCTGACGAGAAACAAAAATGTGTTAAGTATAATACCAAAAGCACTGCCTATAAAGAAAAAGATGGATAAATAGGACTTAAAGTTAAAATGTTCTGTTCTGAAAAGATGCTTTTAAGAGAGAAGGAGCCATTGAGTGGGAGAAAATATCTGTAATACATGCATTTGATTTGGTGCCAGACTATGGAAACACCTGCATATCAATAAGGAAAAGACACCTTGATAGAAATAGATATGCAAGTGGCAAAAGAATATGTGAAAAGGGTCCAACATTATTAAATCATTAGAGAAATATAAATTAAAAGCACAGTAAGATGCCTGTATGAATCGCTTAGAAGGGCCAAAATTAAAAAAAAAAAAACAAAAAACAAAAAACATAAGATGCCTGTATGAATCTCTTAGAAGGGCCAAAATTAAAACAAAAACAAAAACAAAAAACAACCTTACAATTCTCTTATGCACTTCTGGTAGGAGTTTAAATTGGTACAACTTCTTTGGAAACTGGCAGTAGCTACTAAGGGTGAACATGAACACACCTCATGACCTAGCAGTTCCACTCCTAGATGTATCCACACAACAGAAATGAACCAGTGATATATAACTCTATTGAGACAA